GGCTAGACACTTGCATTTTATTCACAGATCAAGTGAGACATTTTCAAAATTACCAAAAGTAAAGTAAGTGTTTTAAAACAACTATATTTCTAAGCAAGATTTTTCTTCTACACACTTTGTTTTCAGTTCCTGAGGAAGACAGGCCTAGAGACAACTATTTTTAGATGTAATTGCTGTGTCGCATGTAAGAAAACTACAAAAATTAAAAGACACATATCGAGTTTCAAGTCCAACAATACTAATAAAATATACAACATTAAAAAAACGATTACATGTAAATAGTAAACATTTTGTATATTTATTGGAATGCCTCTGTGGCTTGCAGTATATAGCTGGGACTATATCACCGCTTAAGGTTAAAATTAGTTAACATTTCCATAATATAGAAAAAGGTTTTAAAAACTACCTTGTTTCTTCACATTTTAAGTTACATAACAATGACCCAAAAATGTGCAATTTATGGGTATCGCAAAGCTCAACCAACATTGGAGAGGTGGCGACATGATCAAAAAACTTAGTAAAGCAGAGATGGAGTGGGTATATTATTTGGACACTCTACACCCAAATGGCTTAAATGACCAATACAATTTATTTAAATTTTTTATAATATAGTTTAACATTTATCACTAATTAAATATTTTTTGTTAATAATCATCAATTAAAAAAAATATTATTTTAGATTTTTTTTAATATCAATTTATAATATTCTCTGCAAACTAACAAATAATAATATTTTTTTAAAAACCTGCCAAAACCACTTTAAACTTATTAGGGAAAAAAACCTTCTGTTTCACCGTTCTTTGTCAACATGTGCATTGTAGAATAGAATTAACTATTCAGACTGGGGAAATTTCCTATTTATATATTGTGTTACACTTAGTACTTTAATGCAAATTTGGACCATATGACTCTCTAATTCCTTTTTTTACATGATAATTCTTATATATGTTACAACATCTCAATTTAACGTATATATGCAATCCAAGGCAATCTTTGCATGGACATTATCATTTATTTTTGTTATAAAAGCTTTCATGTATAATTTATTAAGTTTGAGTATATAATATAAGCTTTTGTAAATAGAATGTTACACTATCGTTGTACTTTTATTTCCTTTTTTTTTTTTAAGAGTAAGAAATATAATTGCGAAATCTGCTGCTACCTTTGTATGTATGATTTTATTATAATAATTCTTAGCGCTGTCCACCCAATTTATTAGCCTGTTATGTTCTATTAAAGTAGATAAAGGATCAGCACTGCGTAATCTAATGGGAGCTAAAGACAGATGGAGAGCTACAACCTATAGATATGAGGTTCCCTCTCAAGTCCTCAGAAAAGAAATGGCAAAACAAAAATAATAGGTCGCACTACAAGAAAAATAAATACAAAAGGAAATAGATGAATATAATATACTCACATACACTAAAAAAAAAGGAGTATATAGATAATAGTCCCAATGCTTGGTATGCTTCTTATAAGTTCCAATGGGTATGTGAAGATATGGATGACTGGTAGTCCCAATGCTTGGTATGCTTCTTATGGGTTCCAATGGGTATGTGAAGACTTAGATGAATGGTATATCCAATAGGAGACTGGATCCTCTAATATTGGGGGAGTCTTGACTCGATGATAAACATAGAAATAGGAAAACAGAGACAATCCAATAGTGCAGACTGTATAGTAATAAGTAGAGAATGGGAAAATAATAGGGAGGTAATTCACTCACCTATTCAAGAGCATAAACTAGCTCAAGTATAATTGGCATTCAGTGGCGTCTGTCCCCCACTGGTGGGATATAGGTGTTGATATTTCCTCGGTATAGAAAGGAGATAAGAACCAAACATAGTGCTCACTGAATATAAATTAAAATAAAATAAAATGAAAGAATAAAAGTACTCACATTTAAATGAGCAGGATATACTGCTCAATATAATCACGTAGGTGGTACTATCCCCACCTAGGATTCTTGGGCATGTGAAGACTCCAAGATAATATATGACCAGGTAAAAAGAAAAATATAAAATAAAAGGTATATGGCAAGGATATAATAAAAAAGCCAATATTCCTTTATTAATACAATATAAAATATAAGAAATAGCCAATTCCTTTCTATACCAAGGAAATATCAACACCTATATCCCACCAGTGGGGGACAGACGCCACTGAATGCCAATTATACTAGAGCTAGTTTATGCTCTTGAATAGGTGAGTGAATTACCTCCCTATTATTTTCCCATTCTCTACTTATTAGTATACAGTCTGCACTATTGGATTGTCTCTGTTTTCCTATTTCTATGTTTATCATCGAGTCAAGACTCCCCCAATATTAGAGGATCCAGTCTCCTATTGGATATACCATTCATCTAAGTCTTCACATACCTATTGGAACCCATAAGAAGCATACGTTTTTAGTGTATGTGAGTATATTATATTCATCTATTTCCTTTTGTATTTATTTTTCTTGTAGCGCGACCTATTATTTTTGTTATGTTCTATTGTTCACAAGGTAAAAGGAACTCCTTGTTGGTGAATAGCTGGTTTATTGGATAGAGAGCACTTATCACTTTTTTCACTATTGGTTCAATATCCTGTCTCAACCAAAAAAGTGGAAGCAAACAAACCTTGAAAACTTAATATGGTGGTCATCATTTAGGCATATTTATGACAGTTTTACCTAAATCTTAAAGCGCCTGCACTTATGTCACAAGGAACAGCTGAGTTTGCAAAAGAGGGCCAGAGAGTCAGGTGACAAGTATCAAGATGTAATAAATTTTGACATATGCTGAACAACTGAATATGATTAATGTTTTAGAAGCCTATGGCTATGTCACTGGTGTTTTGAAACACGGGTGATGGATGGATTATTCTCCTGGAAGTGAGTACTAGTATAGGGAAAAACAGCTGTAAGAAAAAAAAACCCAACATTTATATATATATATATATATATATAAATATATATATATATATATATATTTTATTTTTTTGAGAAGGTGTGGGAGCAAGGTCAGGAAGCAAGAGAATCCAAAGCATTTTGGTATGTACTTTGTGAACAGGCAGATACTAGGTGATTTAAGCAGACACCAAGTCTGCCTGTATTTGATTTATTTGATTTATGCAGACACCAACAGGTTATTATTCACTAAAGTCCGAATTCAGACTGCAAAATTCAGACATTGTTCATGCTATTTATCAATGTCCATTTGTCTCGGAAGAACCTGAACTAGGTCCATATTCAGTTTAAATCAGGACCATAATCCAGGCCTTGATGCTTCATAACTGGATATGGAGTTCAAATAAAACCTTTTTTTTTTCGCCCTGCACCCCTGCAGAACGGCAAGGTTTTACATAGCAGGATTAATTCATTCTTCTAAATATTTTTTTTCTTCAACCACAAATAAGGGTAAACTAGAAAAATTGTCAGAATTGTGGCAACTGACATTTAATGTGGATAAGTGCAAGATAATGCATCTTGGACGTAAAAACCCAAGGGCAGAGTACAGAATATTTGATAGAGTCCTAACCTCAACATATGAGGAAAGGGATTTAGGGGTGATTATTTCTGATGACTTAAAGGTAGGCAGACAATGTAATAGAGCAGCAGGAAATGCTAGCAGAATGCTTGGTTGTATAGGGAGAGGTATTAGCAGTAGAAAGAGGGAAGTGCTCATGCCATTGTACAGAACACTGGTGAGACCTCACTTGGAGTATTGTACACAGTACTGGAGACCGTATCTTCAGAAGGATATTGATACCTTAGAGAGGATTCAGAGAAGGGCTACTAAACTGGTTCATGGATTGCGGGATAAAACTTACCAGGAAAGGTTAAAGGATCTTAACATGTATAGCTTGGAGGAAAGACGAGACAGGGGGGATATGATAGAAACATTTAAATATATAAAGGGAATCAACACAGTAAAGGAGGAGACTATATTTAAAAGAAGAAAAACTACCACAACAAGAGGACATAGTCTTAAATTAGAGGGACAAAGGTTTAAAAATAATATCAGGAAGTATTACTTTACTGAGAGGGTAGTGGATGCATGGAATAGCCTTCCAGCTGAAGTGGTAGAGGTTAGCACAGTAAAGGAGTTTAAGCATGCGTGGGATAGGCATAAGGCTATCCTAACTATAAGATAAGACTAGGGAGTAATAAAAGTATTTAGAAAATTGGGCAGACTAGATGGGCCGAATGGTTCTTATCTGCTGTCACATTCTATGTTTCTATGTTTCTATAAGGCCAAATTAAAATCAACTATATGCAATGCAAATTAAAAAAAAAACCTGATTTGCAAAAAATATATATCAAAGATGCAATAACAATGTTCTCTGTTAAAACATTAAATGCATGGCTCTCCACTGAACATGTGTCTTCCACCAGAAGGAAGTGGAATCCCAACCTGTAGGGACTTTGCATTGTTTTCCCCTATTTGTTCCTTTAGTTGAAAATTATCTTTTTGTTTTGCTAATCTATTGCTGTTGGATCTGAGAGCTACTAAGTAATAGTCATAATTATACAGATACTAATCAGCTAAATTTTATTAAAGTATAAGGCTTTATCTCTTGCTTTATTCCTCAGCAGCAAAGAAAGAATATTAAGGTATTAATAGAAAACAAAAACAAATACCCTTAAAGGGTTAACCATATAACATTCAACCAATGGGAGCAGTCCTCATTCCATATACTCCCATGTGACCTAAACCACGCCCTCTTCCTTTGCTTCTGCCTCAGCTAAGTACCTCAACTTGCTCCTGGATGCTACAATGAGCAAATCAGTTACCCAAGCCATTTACACAGCCATGGGAGTGATGTCAGTCAACTTCTCCCACTTCATCTCTATAGCTATCATGGCATCGGGCTGGACCTCTGGCCCAATGCTCCCTGCAGCCTCTGATAATAAGCTGATGGTCCCTAGCGACCATAATGCTACGAAAAAAATCCCACCATGTGGCTAAAAATACCTCTAAAAATTATTTGACAGGGAGGTTGCGCCCTGTTGATAGAGGACGTGGTTCTCCCATGTAAAAGAGCCACCCATCAGTCAAAAGCGGTGCGGACTTGGAAAAGGGCAAAAGCCCTACCTTATTCGTCGGACTCTGATTCGGACTCGGAGGAAGTTTCTGACTCTGATTCCCGACCGAGTGGACCCGGTTTACTCAGAGGACTCATCTCCTGAACGCAGTGTGACTGCGCCGCCAGCTATTGAAGTTAGGCGGGAGGCGGACAAATCCACTATTTTAGACCCTCAAGTGGAACCCCTTTTTGAGCCTGATGCCCTGCATAACCTTCGCTTGGCTGACTGGTACCCCACTGACCATGTGGCCAAATACATCGCAACTAGAGTTAGAAAACCGCTAGATAAGGCCACGAAAAGTAAACTCAGAGCAGAGTGCCCATGCCCTACAGTCCCTGACATGGCCTGTGTTACCTCGGATGTGGATCCTAAGATTGCCCAATTTCTGGGAAAATCAGGTTGGAAGGCCAAAAAGGGACTAGACTATTCCCTGCAACACTGTCAGGACAAAGTCTTAGACGTATTAGGGCTTGTAGCCACTATCTTCGACATGGTCTAAGTGGCCCTGACCGCTTGATAGGCAACGCTAACACCACGTTGGTCACCGAATGAAATAAAGCCATCCTGATGAAAATTGAGCCAAAACTCCTCAATCTGGCAATATCTGACCCTGGCACACAGGCAAAAGGTCTCCTGTTCGGAGACAATTTCATTAAAGACCTGGGCAAATATGTCAGTACCTTCACGGCACTAGTCAAAGAACAAATGAATATGAAACGGTGTTCTCTCAGAAGGTTTTCGGTGGGGCCGGCAGACATCTGGGCCATCTGTCCGGCCATTCCTCCCGGACTTTGTACCGGGGCTATCCGGGCTCCGCCACATCAAGGTTCTAACCGCCGGAACCCAGGGTACGGTCACCTTTCTTCCCGACCAGGGGCAGGTCATGGCAACCCTGTGGAACCAGGGGATCCTCCTATGGCCGTCGGCCTTATGGTGAGTTATTTTCCATCACACACCCTTTCTCTGTCATATGTGGGTGGCAGACTATCCCATTTTATCGATGCATGGCACAAGCTAACATCAGATGTTTGGGTCCTAGAGACCATTCTAGGCGATCACATCGAATTTGGACAACAACCAATCTAATTCTCACTACCATTGTTTTTTCCCCACAAGACAAAGGCCTAGTATCAGAGGAGATTCGCACATTAAAAGAGAAAGGTGCTATCTACGAGGTTCTGGTTACCTCTCCCGGTTTCCTGAGCAACATATTATTGGTACCCAAGAAAGGTGGTGGTATAAGACTGGTAATCAATCTTCGACCCCTCAACGCCTTTGTCACGTACCATCACTTCAAGATGGAAGGGATACATTGCCTATGGGACCTCTTCAGACTGGGAAATTGGATGGTCAGACTCAACCTTTGGAGTCAACACATCCTTTCGGCCTGTCCTCAGCCCCGTGGTGTTTCACCAAGCTGCTGAAGCCGGTGGTCGCCCTTCTACACAGCAGAGGAGTCTGTATAATCATATACCTTGACGACATGCTGATCATTCCCCACGGTGTCCAATTACTGAGTCAACATCTCTTCTGGGCACTGTCCCACCTTCAAAATTTAGATTTCTTAATCAACTGGAACAAGTCAATCCTGCATCCTTCCCACACCATGGAGTTTTTGGGATTCAACATAGATGCAATTCACGGAACGCTCATTTTACCTACCACAAAAGTGAAACTCATCAAGAAGGAAATCTGGAGGACATTGGCACGACCGCTCTTGACCTTGCGACAACTGGCGAGGAAAATCACCCTTCTCTTAGCCTCCATACAAGCAATCTTTCCAGGGTGCCTCCACTACAGGGCCCTACAAAAGCTCAAAGCCGTGCACCTACGCTTGGGTCAGTCTTACTCCGATTCTGTTCCACTCGATTGCTCGGCAAAAGAAGAACTTGCCTGGTGGCTTCAACACACGGAAGCATGAAACGGCAGGGCAATCTTCGGAACCCCGAATTTCATCATAGAATCCGACACAAGCAGGCTTGGCTGGGGTGCGCATTGTGGTCCCACTTCTACAGGTGGAAAATGGTCCTCACAGGAAAAGGAGCTTCACATCAATGGTCTGGAACTCCTGGCAGGGTTGTTTGCCCTTCGGAGCATCCTCGGGGCACAACCAATTGTTCCATCTTACTTTGAATGGACAATAGCTCGGCCGTCCGTTACATCAACCATCTGGGTGGCATGAGATCCACGATACTAACAAACCTAGCGAAAGAGTTTTGGATTGCAAAATATCAATACAGCGGAATACCTTCCAGGATTATCCAACATCGTAGCAGATTGGAATTCCAGGCTTCTACAAGACAACAGCGTCTGGCGACTGAACCGCATCATATTCCTGCGGCTCCAACAACTCTGGGGCCCAATGCACATCGATCTCTTGGCCTCCCGGTTGAATTCTCAACTCCCGTCATTCTTCAGCTGGAGACCAGACCCAGATGCCCTGGCGGTGGATGCCTTCCTCCAACCATGGCCAAACAAATGACTTAATGCATTTCCTCCCTTCTCTCTAATGGCTCGGACCCTACTACATCACAAACACTCCTGAGCATCACTGGTCTTGATAGCACTGTTCTGGATGGCACAGCCTTTGTTCCCTTCGCTCATGGAAATGTCTATCGACCTCCTCAGACTAATCCCAGGATCCATGGACCTACTATTGGATCCCGATGGGAACTCTCCCCATCTTCTGGTTCAGGGGCACCTCAGACTTCTGGCGTGGCTCCTCTCCAGGGACCTTGGGTCATGCCGAACATTTCACAAGCAACATTTATTGGCAGGAGCTTGGGCTCCAGGAACAAGAAGATCCTATTCTCATGCATGGAACACATGGAGTGGTTGATGCATGGAACAACATGTGGATCCCATACGTGCTTCTGTAAACCACATCTTGAGTTTCCTAACTGCCCTATATGACCAAGGCTTGGCCTACCGCATGATAATCTTATATAGATCGGCAATCTCAGCTGGTCATTGAAGAATGGATGGTTTCCTGGCTGGGAAACACTTGTTGGTTTGTCGCCTTCAACGAAGCATTATATTTGCACATCCTCCCTAGCCCTGATACACGGCTCTATGGGACGTCAACCTAGTTCTTCATCAGTTGGAGGATTCGCCTACGAACTCTGACCTTATGCTCAAACAAGTGTCTGCGAAATTGGCTATGCTCTTGTGTTTAATTTCCTGTAAAAGGGTGTCGGATGTCCGAGCTCTGGATATCGATGCACGTTCCTTCACTCCAAACAGTGTTTTGTTTAATATCACCAGACATACAAAATCAAAGATCACTTCAGTCTTCTACCTCTTTTCCTCACAATGCTAATCTCTGTCCAGTGGCATGCCTCCAGGAGTATGAACTACGGACTCAGTCATTCAGGAAACCAACACACCATGACTTGTTCCTGGCTCTGAAGCAACCTCATCACCCAGTATCCACAGTGACTTTGGCATGTTGGGTAAAATGGATAATGTCGTCTGCTAACATTGACACATCAGTTTATGGAGCTCATTCTACTAGAGGTGCTATGGCTTCAAAAACATTTACATTGGGTTGTAAACTTGAGGACCTTCTTCGCACAGCTGATTGGTCTCGATAATCGACATTCAAAGATTACTATTTTCGTCCAGCAGAACACATCTCTTCTAGGGTTATTATTATTATTGCCATTTATATAGCGCCAACAGATTCCGTAGTGCTTTACAATGTTATGAGAGGGGGATTTAACTATAAATAGGACAATTATAAAAAACTTACAGGAACGATAGGTTGGAGAGGACCCTGCTCAAACGAGCTTACATTGTATAGGAGGTGGGGTGTATCTTACAGCTTTAAACTAGCCTAATATGAGTCTCCAAATTACCAGGCTCATATTATTTTAATAATAAAATTATCAGATTTTACTAATTACATGACAAAGTCGAGTATTAGCCCACCCGGAAGACAGGTAAGTCTTACATTTTTATCTTCCCACCCAATTTTCGACAGCATGTATGGTTTGACTTGACTTTAGTGTGTGTTACCGAATACTTAGAATAATTTTGTCTTTTGCTGGACTCATGGTGACATGTTCAATTTTATAGGTTTTAGCTGTCACAGATACAAATGTATAACATCGGTATTTAACGTATTTTACCACCTATATCTCTGTCTCCTACAGCTTGAACCTTTACAATGGGTCAGTCGGGACCAGTTTTCCTCCCATGGTTGCAATGGAGATGCTCCCTAGGACCCTCTACCATCAGATTGTGTCTACGCATTTTTCAGATGTTGGACTCTTGCTCATGTCGAGTCAGTTGTTTATGTCAGGTTTTTTTTCCAGCTTCGGCATCATCAAGAAAGAGGGAGTGGCTTAGGTCACATGGGAGTATATGGAATGAGGACTGCTCCCATTGGTTGAATATGTTATATGGTTAACCCTTTAAGGGTATTTGTTTTCTATTAATACCTTAATATTCTTTTTTTGCTGCTGAGGAATAAAGAAAGAGATAAAGCCTAATACTCACCTCCGTGTCCTTAATAAAATCATGACTTTACGTCATGTAATTAGTAAAATATGGTAATTCCTCTGACTGTTAACTTCCATTTTTAGGTATAAGATTGCTATTTGATATGATCTTTTATTTCTTTTTTTTTTCTCTTTAGTGGCCTATGCTTTGTTTACAATAAAACCAAAAAAAACTAATACCTTGCCTTTTGGTTTGACCTCTCTTATGTCTCAAAAAGGTTTTTCCCTCACATGTGTAATCACAAAGAGAACCTTTAAATCTCAAACGAATATCACTCGCAACAGAACTCCATATCCAAAATGTCAGCAGCCTCCCTCTGCATGTGAGGTACTGCATCCCCATATCATCATTTCAGCCTTATTTTGTAAATGAGGTACTGGTGATACCCCAATAATCACAGTGAGTGTGAGGTCCATGTTTTGATTATCTTTTAAACTTAGGAAGAACCTGAGCAATAACAAACAGAAGATAGCAGAAGATACACTAGATCCAAGAACACTAAAAACAGACAAAAACTTAATGACTTACTCTTGGGTTGGTCCCGTTCAGTATGAAGAGGAGCTCCAGGTTGTGTGAATCTGTTACACGTGAGAGGCTTCAACAGGGAGTTATGGAACACATTTTGAGGCATGCCTTTAGGTAAATCCAGGGAATAGGAGACTGCATTGATCCTAAGCAGGATCTTAAAAGGACATAAGAATCCAGGAGTCAGTTTCATAGTAGGGACTCAGGGATGGATATTATGAGTGGATAGCCATACCCATATACTTGATATGAAGGAGCTGCTCCACTACATTTGTCTCTAGCTTTTGGCGACTTACAGATTTCACCAAGAGACACTGAACCTGCTCCCAAATCCTATTTAAGCCATCCAGATGCTCATGCCCAGTGAAGAGAGTGCAGTTGAAAGAACCATTGAATGCTGGCTGCAAATCACATATAAAGAACTGTTTCCAAGATTCCAGGATTTGTGAGTAGCGTTATTGGGAGCAAACT